TTCTGTTGAAACAAGTTTTGGGAGTTTCAGTTTTAATTAATGTTCTTTTTCCGAATGAATGGAAGACATTAACTCATGGATGCATGGAAGGTATACATTCAATTGTGAATAACATATATATATATATATATATATATATAAGTAGGTATATTTTTATTTATACTATCAATCCTTACAACATTCACGGTTTTTGTTTCGAAAATTTTAAATATTCATGAAATACTCCGTTGTATTTATAAATAAAAAGAAAATATGGACAGAGATATCATGTTTTTATAATTGAAACAGAATTTAGATTTCAAAAAAAAAATAAAATACAAAAAGGGGCAGATTTATCAAAAATAAAAAATAAAAATTAATCTTCACATGCTACTACTAGCATTAGTTCCTTAATCCATAATTAGAGAGATTTAACTTCTCGTGTAAGGGCACTGAAATTTCTTAAACTTCCTTGTGGGTACATACTTCCATTCTATACCTTCAAGTAGAGGAAGCTTAGAGATGCTTAGTAGTAAAGTGGTGAGTAATTCGACCTCTTTTTCAGCACTGAAGCCTTTATGATATGCAGCCAAATATAATTTAAGGATTTTTGTATGGATCTCAAGAGAAAGTTTGTTGTATTTAGAGCATCTGGAAGACTGGGATATCAGTTACCGAGTTCAAGTCAAATCCTCAATTATTCATTTTTTCTTTGAATAAAACAAATGGTAGAAATGAAGCAAAGAACAATGCTGAGTGCCAAAACTGCCAAATGTATTACAAGTTCTTTGTTTGTAGAAGCTTACTTTTATTAAATGATGGGACAGCAGCATTGTCCGCTGGCCCAGAAATCACTCAAAAACGTTTCAAAATGATTTTACATACGAGCCAAATCACAAGCTTTCATTATGTTTACGGCTTCTCTTGCTATTATCTGATATTGATAGCCTAGTCCACTCACTATCCGAACGTTTAGCCTGTTTCCAGGAAAATTTTGCAAGTCAAAATCAGCTAATGGCCGATATTAGTGGCAACTCCTATCAGTCCAAACTCTGTACCCAATTTCGAAGAATTTAACCAGTTTCATTTATTTTATTTGATTTCAATTTTTTAGAAAAAAACAATGTGTGTTCTAGATTGAAAGTTGAGACACCACCGTTTTCGGCACTTAAGCAGATCATCAAATATATTATAGTTGTGAGTTGTCACATTGAAAGATTCCTCACTTTCTCTCTTCTATAAATACCCTCCTTGGCTTCACTTCCGTTTTCCTATAACAGTTACGTCTTCTGTTTGCTTTAGCATTTCCCTTCCCTGTTTTCTTCTCTGTTTTTTGTTCTGTACCTTGCAACGCAATGGAAAACATTGAAGCCAAGTTTCCAGAAAACCCATCTCTCAAAACACACAAACTTGTCCTCGGAGCACAAATTTGTTTGAGAATTGTGGCGATTGCGACCGCATTGGCTGCCACATGGGTGATGCTCACTTCCAAGCAAACAGTTATGGTTTTTGGCATACCATTCGATGCTCGATATAGCTATTCTTCTGCTTTCAAGTAAGAAAAGGAGAAACTCAATATAACAAATAAAATACATGCTACAAAATTTTAGAGCTCGTTTTTTTGTTGTTTGTGAAACCTGCCCGAGTGCTAAATCCTCCATTTTTTCAGGTTCTTCGCCTTTGCAAATGCCCTTGCATGTGGGTTCACTGTTCTCTCCTTGTTGTTTGTGTTCTTCTTCAGCCGCCGTGGCCTGACTCCTGCTAACTACTTCTTATTGTTCCTGCACGATTTGGTATTGTCGGCTTTATACAAATCCACAAAATAATATATACAGCAGTATGTTTTTGTTCACCAAGATGTTTGCTAATTAATATTCCTGGTTCTTGGCCGTGGCAGTTGATGATGTCGCTGGCGCTTTCCGGTGTGGCGGCTGGGACTGCAATCGGATACGTAGGTCGCTTCGGTAATATCCATGCTGGTTGGTTGCAAATCTGCGACCGTTTGGGCAAATTCTGCCACAAGGTGACCGCTTCCTTGATATTCTCGTATCTGTCAGTCCTTTGCTTGCTGGTTCTTACCATCATCTCCGCTAGCAAGTCTAGACAAATTAAGGTTTAGAACTCCTTAATTTGGGGTGACAGACGGATGAGATGAGAGACAGGCGACCATGGCGATGACTCAATTCGCATTTTTGCAAACTTTGTTTACTCTTCGGTGGGAAAGGAAACTAATTAAACTTTCCGTTTTACGTATCTTTCCTTGCCATCTGTAGTAACAAATACAACGATGCTATGGTAGGTACATGTTGATATTGAAATTCGAAATTTAGTAAATGGATGGATGGCTTTAAATTCCTCAATAAGAGAGTGGGGAATATATGGAATTAGAAACCATTTTGGCACAGCACCTATAATTTGTAAGAATACCATATGTGGGCCATTGTTTGAGTAGCTAGGAAATCTCAGGCTTAGACTTGGTACTCTACTAAACTAGTGACTAACATAAATAATAAGGAAAATGATAAGGTTGGATGCGTAACTCTACTCACCACAAGCGATTGAATTGGAAAGATGATCTACGAAAAGTTTGCCTCTCATCCAGTTCCCACCCGGATGACTATTTCCGTTTATTTTCCCTTCTACGATATTCTACACATTATAAAGTATTTAATTCATGCTTCATAACTTGATAATCATAGAAGTTTGAGAAAATTTTTGCTATTGATTATTAACCCAACTCTTCTCCTTTATCCTAGATTGCTACCCAACATTAAAAAGGGAAATTCTCGACGTTTATACGTATACATATATGTATGCATATAAATAAATAGAGAATATTGTCATTTTCAATTTTATTTTTTTAATTTTAAAAGATAAAGAGAAAAATAAATTTCTAATTTCACCACCAACTTGGGCAAAAAGTACAACACCTTTCTTCTAAACAACGATGGTTGAAAATTGCCTACTCAAGTATTTGTAACTTCTTCCATTATTTGTTTTATTCTCTCATCGATCTCCCTGATCTTCATGGAGGGTGGTGTGGCTGTGCGAGAGGGGTGACTAATGTGGAGAGCCGGATCTTTTAAGCACAAGACTGGGTCAATTCCATCAAACCCACTTTTCAGGATCCAGACTCATCTTGGATTTTCGTACTCCTCAGAAGCGGGCTGGGCCTTGTGGAACAGAACATGGGCTGGGGCAGGGCTCAAAGTCAGAGGCCCCAATTTTTTTATGTCCAAAAAATGCCACCAAAGGATAGGAATCAGTCCTCAGTTGGTTTCTTAGCTTATTTAAGAAAAGTCGGGTTGATTTTGGTAATTCCAAATACAATTGTTTACATAATAATTTAAAGTAACCTTCTCCAATCCCCAACATGAGAGTATTCCTCTAATACAATGGGTCTTATAAGTAACTATTTTTATTCTTGTAATATAGTTTTGCTACACTCTTGGTATTGTGTTCATATACAAGAGCGACAAACTGCGACTTGAAATCTCTTTTTCTCAGTCTCAATTTGCAATGAACCTCTTGGTATGCTAATATCACAGAAGCTTCCTTCAACATTTTTTTGTTTTCCGTCAACCATTACCATATCCATATTGATTATTGACCTATCCTCTTATAGCGTTTCCACATGGCGTAGAAGGAAAAGGCGTCCCTCTCTTTGCCGTTTCACATGCCTTTAATCCAATAATACTATACAATATCGACAACCCAAATTGCTCCATCCTTCATCTCTAAGTTTGAACAGCTAAGCACGCTTGTGCATTCTCTTCCCACTGTTCATAATACTACTACTTTCCTCCAAATGATTGTTTATTCTTTCTTTCCTTAAAGTCGGCATTGATAAATTTTTAGTATTCCTTCTACAACAAGGTTCAATATTAAAAAAGATTGATTCTCTATGTAAACAGATAAAATATAATGGATCACCAAATTCTACGGTTCTCCAGACACAGCTGTATATTTCCGTGCCCCTTTGCCATAGGCAGGAAGGTTTCAACCAAGCAGGTTTCACACCCGACCCCTTCCTTTTCCTTTTACCCAACAAGAATCCATCGATATACGGCTTAAGTCAATTTTGCAAACAACTTTAGGTAGGTCCTTACCTGTTAATGTAACAGCCAGCAGAAGATTGCGAAAGAGGCATAACATAGAACAAATGCACATGGTCAAGAACAAATGCACGTGGTTTATACCCACCATTGTAAGGATATAAGATCAGCCAGACATCCAAAGAACCAAACAAAACTATTTTTCAAAATCGAATCTGGTAATATAGTTTTGCTAATTTTATACAGGAATTGAATGAGAAAGATTCACACTGATGGAGTAGATCCTTCTGGGACCCCAGAATATTGAGAGCAGAAGGTTTAGAAGAGCTGGAAAGAGGAAGTGCTTGCCTGTTTAGGCAAGGATCAGTAGAAGTTTGCAGTGGTTGGAGAACATGGACAGAGACTAAACTTAGAACAAATGCAGCCACATCCTTGCACACAAAACACACTCATAAATCATCATCGTTATTACCAGACTACCAACACAATCATGGTTATGCTTATCTTCTTTCTATTACTTAAGGTTAAGGAGGAGTTATGAGAAAGCTTAAATTTACAAGAAACTGGAAAAGAAATAACCCAAAATGGATCAGTGCGTAGCTAATGCTTAGATTTAAAAGTTAAGGTGAAAAAAGGACCTAAATATAGGACCAAAATAGAGTGGCAGATATAGAATGCTGTGTATAAGTTTTCACGAAACTCTTTGTAAGACAAAGAAATTGGCTTGCAATGATTAGCAAATTCACTCCTGTAAGGCCTATGTCTAGCAGTGAAACGAGCTCCGCCTTGTGGAATGAAAAAACCAAAATTTAGTTCCCCTGATGCAAACTCTTACTGAAATTTCCGAGCATCCTACACTGGCCGAATATGGTTAATTGGCGTATCAAACACTTAAGCGAGAAAAGAAAGCAACCAGCTAGCAGAGTCAATGTAATATAACTTAATTCAGTTAGGACTCAGTCATCATCAACAACCTCTTTGTGAAGTCAATAAAAACTCCAGAAAATTGTAAAAACAGAACCATGAGTTCATACATGACAGAGCTGCAAAATGCGAAATCATTGAATTTCGGGTAATAAAAATTGAACACCGCTCTAAATAGGTCACCAAACCAAGATTATGTCTCTACACTAAAAAGAAAGTTTTCTCCACCAGCAATTACACTAAAGATATACTCTAACTCTAAACAAATCAACATCCACTATGAACAAGAACACTAAAGAAAAAAAACAAGAAATCAAAGTAAAAACACAACTATTGTACATACAGTTAAATGCCCTCATTTTGCAGATATCTTCCGTTGCTATGGTCTGGCGAAAACACCCCAAATCTTACCCCTACTAAGACTCTCCAATAGCTTCTTAGCCCCTTCAACATTCATCTCAACAAGTTTCTGCAAGTACACACAAGCACCAGCGGCAACCATTTGCTTCCTACATTTCTTGGAATGTACAAGCTCTGACAAGATCAAAACAGGGTATTTTTTATCCAAATTCTGTATCAAAGGATCCAACAACTGCACCGCATTTACAATTCCTCTTTCATCTTTTCGAAAAACCTTTCTGTTACCGGCGTACAACATAAGCGTGGACAGTGCCATTGCAGCAGCTTCTTTTTCTTCAACAGCCTTGCCGTCCATCATTTTAATCAATGCCACGGTACAACCACATTCACCCATTTCTTTCCTTGATTTCGAGTTAAAGCCAAGCTCATAAACAGATCTAGCAGCCGCAATTCTTACCCCTAAAACCCCACAGTTCAAAACAGCCACGAGCCGGGCAACGAAACCATCAGCAACCAGAGCTTCTGCTATAGGGGAACAAGAAGCTAAGTGCCTAACTAACTCGACAGCAACTTCAAGACTTTTTGGGTTTGGAGATGAATCCCAGAAATTCTTCAAACATTCAATCCCACCTTCCTTAACGATCAAAAGCTTCAAATTTTCATCATCAGAAACCAAATTACACAAACACCCAATCGAATTTTCTTGTGCTAAGGCAGTCCCTGAAGCTGCAAGCCCGATTAAAACAAACACCGCGTTTTCTTCAATAAAATTCTCTTTAATTTCATCAACAGAAGCTAAGTTTTTCAAAACCCCGGCTGCAAAAGCTTGAGATCCCGGAGTGCCAGCTTGGCAAATCTCTAAGAGAGACGAAATCCCACCTCTGGAACCAATTGCTCTGGCGTTTTCTTTTGAAAAACTTAAAGCTTGTAAAGCAATGCAAGCTTTTTCCTTTGCGAAACCGCTTCCGGATTCAAGAACGCGAAGCAGATGGTTCAAAAGCAACAGCCCTTCAGCGATCAACACGTGTTTGCTTGACTCCACCGTTGACACCCTCGAGATAGCGGCAACAGTCTTTTCTTTCATTTCTAAAGAGCTCGTATCCAGTAAGCGCACGAGCACGGGAACCACCCCCTGCGCCACGGCTATCATCACGTTTTTGTCGTCCTCTTGGAGTAATCCTAAAAGCAAGTCCATGGCCGAGTTTTTAGACTCGGTGGTTCCGATTTGTAAACGAGTAATCAAGTTTCTAGACTCGACTCGTACTGTTTCTTTCTTTGACGAAGAAGTTGAGACGGTGCCGTCTTGTAGGACTCCACTCCGAATCAAAATCTCGCTATCTTTGATGTGTCGATCTAGTTTAGCCAAAACGGCGTCGATGTCGCTCTGGGTCTTGAGTTTTCCCTCAGTCAAATCGGCGAGCTGACATTTCTGGGAAAGCGAGGTGGCGTCGTTCAAGGTTTGGGTGATGGAATAAAGTAGGTCGACGGCGAGAGGGTTAGAGGAAGAAGCGGGACAGTCGGAGAAGTCAGCGAGTTGAGCCTGGAGACCAGAAAGCTTGGATTTGATCAAAGCCCATTTGCCTTTGAAATTGTTGATGTTTCGGATTTGTTCCGAAAGGGAAGCCAAAAGATGATTCGAAAAAGAAATCGGGTCGGTTTCTGGTACTTTCATGGCGGCTCTGCTCAGACCAAATATTTCCTCTCTTTTTATTTTTCTTTCCTGATTATCTTTTCTGCTGATTAGAAAGTTTGTGCAGTGAAAGAGAGAGAAAATGGAAAAGAGACCAACAGAGCATAAAATGTAAAGGCAGAGAAAAAGATAAGACTTTAGGGTTTAGAGTCTACGACTCTAGAGAGAGTGTGAAGAGTGTTGGGAAGCGACGGAGCAGAGGTGTACTGGAGGAGATATACCGTGAGAAATGGGAGGCGTTGTTGAGTATCAGACGCAATTCCTAAGCGTGAAAAACACGGGCTTTTGACTTGCACATTATTGGAATTTGGAATGGATTGGATAATTATTAATGGGATTAACTGCGGTTCCCGCCGGCGGTAAAACTATATCCCTATACTATTTCCATTATTGTGCTAGGCTCTACATTAAAAGGACGACATTGTGTTTAAGATTTTAAATGTTTTGATTGCCTAATGTTTATAGGCCCAACACTTGACTTGATATTAAAGTGTTTTTTTTTTCGTTTCTATTAAGGAATTTAAACAAGGGAATTAAAGATGGATGGGGATTGGTTGGATCATGAAATTAATGCAAATAAATTCATATGTTCAAACCATGGTTTTGAATTTGAATCATTGCTTCAAATGCATAATGTTTACCTTAAATGACGATTTTTTTTTTTGGAATGGGGTTCATCATGAAATAATTTCATTTTTTTTTCAAATTAATAAATTTTGAACTAAGTAATTGTCGTCCATTTTCTTTTCGCAACCTAATAGACAAACATCAAGTCTATTGCTAGGATTATATTTAATTAATACATTATTTATTAGAAGATGATATTATTCTATGTGATAATCTATATCCCACTTGTCTATCTCGAATGCTTTTAACATGCAATTAGTGACATTTGCTTGATTCCACTGCTACTATTATTTACGTCCGTCCCTCCATTTGATAAAAAGTGTTTTCTTTTTGTTTGATAGTATTTTGTAAGAGGTTCAAGCAAAAACGCTGTTACTAACCCAAAATTAAAAATAAAAAACAACCATTATTTTATGTTTCCCACCAAAAGAACTAGCCAAAAGAGGAAGAGCCGCTGGATTGGAGAGTGGAATACACGGCACAATAAAATGGAGAGATAAGGGAGGGTGAGGAGGGTTCTGTGATGATTGGAAATTGAGCCGAAAAGGGCCGTCAGAGAGACAGAATCAGAGGTCTGAGAGAGAAATTTAAAGACTTAAAGCGGTGGGATCCAGCCCTTTCCAAGTAAATACCCTATCTGCCCTTTCTTTTATTTTATTGTAATTGACAGGTCGGACAGCGAATTTTCCTATCCTCAGTCACAGCTCAACCTTCATCTTTTCTGTCACAGCGCCTTTATGATCGTCAGATTGTCCTACCAACCATTATCTACCTTGAATGATGGTTAATTTCTGACTTGGTGGGCCTTGACCAAGTTGTAACTGTCTTTGGGGCCCATTAACATTTGTTCATGGGCTTGGATTCGTGCGTATCAAGTACACCACCCTGCTCCTTCGGTTTTGTAGTTTGACTAGATTGGAAATTTCATGCAATTTTTTAACCCATTATTTTAACCCAAAATAAGGCAGGTGTCTCATTAAAATGTGGACAAATAGAAAATTTCAAATCTAACTTAACAGATGCAGTCTCATTCTCATCCTAACTGAAAAGTCCATGCTGATTTCATGTTAAAAAGAATTATTTATAATTAATTAGTGTGTTAGTCTTTTTCTTTGCTCAATAACGACATTTATAATTTGGTGATTAAGTTAACAACTCTTGGTTATTAAAACATAAATGAGCAAGTTTTGAAGTGACTGGATACATCTTAAAAGCAGTTGAGAGGAGAGTTGACAGTTTGGATTTTCTAAGTAGTAACTTAGAAAATAATTTTCATCAAATCAACTCTTGGAGACTTCTTTTGTATGCAAAGTCGTGAAATTGGTGGGCATCTTCCTGTGCAGAGATACAGCAAAACAAAGATGATGACTTGGTCAAGCTGCTAGACATCTGCACGGTCGAGAACATTTAGGGCATTTTTTTAATTCAGTTATTCAGGATAAGGGTTGGAGAAGTGGAAAATCTATTATTATATTACTAATATATATACTCATATATAGACCTATCAATATGGGCCGGGTCGGTCCATCCCGGCCCTTGCCCTTGTGGGTTGAAAAATATGAGCCGGGTCTGGGCAGCTCATATTTTATATGGGCTACAAAATGTTCAGCCCAGCCCAGTCCTTGCTAGCCCATGGGCCGGGTCGGGCTAGCCCTGCCCCCTCCTCCGGCTCCCACAGTCCGTTCCCCCTGCGGCCCTGCGCCCCCCTCCGGCTCCCGCGAGTCCCGATTCCCCCTGCGGCCGCCGGGTTGGCCCGTACCAACCCAAATCAGCCCTCGGCCTAAACGGCCCGTCCTATATTTAAAAAAAATAAACGCCTGTACCAACCCAAAATTTTTAAGCCCGGCTCTCCTATATTTTAAAAAAAATAAGCTGACGCCGACGGGCCAAGCCCATTTTGACAAGTCTACTCATATACCATTAAAGTGAGACCTTAAGCGTTATTTAAAGACAAATACATGAGTAAAGAATATATTTAAAATATTTAATTATCATATAATTGACAAAATCATATGTGAATTTTTTAGTAAAAAATGTTTCTATTAACTATTAGTTTCTTGATAATAAAAAATAAAATATATAATTAATTATAATAGAAATGTTCAAATTGATTTTTAAATTTTTTTCTTCCAAGAAAAATTAACTCTTCTATTTTTATATGGTAAATGCAATATGCTTAAAGTTTTACTTAAATAAATTTAAAAATGATTTATATCCTATTATTGTTTTTATAATTTCAAAAAAGAAAAAGAATGAAAGTGAATAATGTGTAATATAAAAATAATATACTTGATTAAATAAAATATAATAGAATTAAAAAATATATTTGCAATATTTACTTACTTTACACATAGCATACTTATATTATAAGAAGTGAGATAATGCATAAAAATCATATATATTCTTAACTTTATTTTTTATTCAGTACAATTTTTTATTCTAAACATTAAGAACCAATTTTTTTATAAAAAAATACAAACATTTATCATTAAACAAAATCTTTCAATACCAAGTTCATCTTTTATCTTGCGTTTCATTCTATCAACAATATATAAAAAGTGAACTGTTAAAGAAACTAAATTGTGCTAGTGTTGGCTTGTAAGGATAAGCGCATGACAATAATGACATCCCAATAATGCATCATCCAAGTTTTTGGTTCGGTCTACGTAATTTGGGAGAAGTTGGGAGTTGGTTTCTTGTCATATCAAAGGCCACTAAATTATTTAAAGGAAGGAAAACGTCCTAGTAGCATTGCTTGTTTTAGGCAGTCAGACGGTGTCGGCAATGGGTGCAGAGGTACAATGATTAGACAATGATGAATTATACCATCCCCATCCGGTGCTATTATCTTTTATTAAAAATTTTAAAAGGAAAATTAAGGAAGGAAATGGCCATTTTGAGAAGCCCTCGTCCTTCCGGTCTGGGTCCACAGGAGCTCAAAGTGCAAACCTTCCTCGTTCCCATCATATCAGCAATCAGATCAAATCATCCTAATCGCTCGTCTTGTCATCCTTAGGCCTAAAGTGAAAATCCAATTCATTTTCACACCTTATATGTGTATATTCCTTTTTATTTATTTTTGAATAATAATTAATATAAAAAAATAGCAATTTTTTTTAATTTTTATCAAAAATTAATTGAATTACAATTGCAAGAGTTTATATATAAAGATAATTAGCATTTTATGTTATACTATTAGAGTTAAGAAAATCATTCAATACAATTAGAATTTACGAAAAATATTCAATGTAATTAGAATTTTTATATATTTACAAATTAGATAAATCTTATTAATATAAATAAAAATATTTAAAATAATAATTTAGAAATATCATGAATTAATATGACTTGTTTAATATCTATTTATTTAGTCATGTTCAAGTATTAGATAATTATGTTTAGTACATAATTAAGACTAGTTTATTGATCTATATAAATGCTAATATTTGATAAATATTATGATATTTATAATTTTTTATTATAAATTAAAATAATAAAATTATATTTTAATTTAATTATTTTAATTATATTAATAGTGTAAATTTATTAAACTTAACAATATATATATTTTATTAATAAATTATGTTATTTTTATATTTATCTAAATAAATGTTAATATCTTATATTTATACCATACATTTAATACATAAAAACAAGAGTTGATAGATCTAATTCTACTTTATTATAAGTCCTTGTTCATATCCAGTTTGAGGACCAGCTCATATTTCTTATTTTTTGTGTCCTTCATCTTCAAATAATGGAAGGCTGCACGAGTAATGATAACGTTACCATGAGTACGCCGATTAACCCCAAAAGCGCACACTGGTTTTCTGTGTTCACGAGACTTCTTTAGAAATAACTTTCTAAACAGAGTTGCAGAGTCTTAGTGGCCCAAAGGAAGAGGCTAATTCAGGCCCTTTCTGTTCTGGTATCAGCCACATTTACCTTGATACTGCTCCAAAGTCTGTGAAAGAATATTCCACTGAAGCCATGTGGACATGGTACTTCATAAGTGCCTAGTTGAGGAACCATTTTAACTAGAAATACATTCATTTCCTCTGTTACCACCCGAGGAACGTGATCGAGCACTGTACCCAATCGACATTTGAAGTTTATTTAATAATGGTATTTCTAATGTTCACATGCCTACATTAGCTGGATCGTAGGATTGCCCTACTCTGTTCCCAACTTAAGAAATATAAGCAGTATTAACGAGGACATAAAAAGAAGAATATTCCTCGTTGGCTTGGCAAGTAGAGTTACGTCAATCCACTTTTCAAGTCACAACAATACCTTGTTATTCCATATGAGAACCCAAAGGGTATAAAGTCGCACGCAAGTGAAGGATTGATAGGTCTAGCTGAGGGGTACTTTTGAACCCAAGAAGCTTGGAATAATGCGAAGAAAGTGTTAAAAATTATGCCAAGTATTTGAAAGCCAGAAGTTGAAAGAGTCAAATGATGCGATGTTGACAGGCATTTGAGTCAAATTGGAACAAATTAATAAAGCTTTATTGATTCGGGTAATGGACATTGAAAGGCTTTTGACATTTGTCATTTGTATTGGAATTAAGCGAATATTATAGGCTGATAAAAAGTTTTAAAAAGGGATGTCAAGAGCCGACTATGAACCCACCCGGTTTTTTGTTCAAAGACAAACATCCATCAGACTCTGACTTTCTTCAATGAATTCAGAATCGCAGCGTTTGTCCTTCTTCTTTACTTGAGGGAAAAAAATTACTCTTCAAATAGTAAGGGAATGCTAACGTGGCAATGAAAACTTGGAGCTTAGGGCCTAAACATGCTGGAACAACTAAAACATGAGAATCATTAAACATCGTTTTCACCCTTTGAAAGTCTTGGAAGGTCAAATGAACTGATTCAGTGCAAGTTGCTTAACCAACGTGGCCCATGGACATTGGTAGAGGGCTTAGCTTTTTCCCTTCCTTGCCCAGTTCCTTTCTTTTTAATAATATTTCTTCCTGGTAATCTGTTTGACCTCAAATTAAGGGTGATTTTCAATCATGCTGGACGGTAGTGAAAACAACAGATATAGCCAAAACGAACGTTTATGATATGGTTGGACCTTTAAATCCATTGGAACATATTCTGTCATGTCCACGTTTGGTGGTTGAATTTTGCGATGTGATGACAAATAAAGCTGAGGATAAGGGGAAATACAAAGACTTAGCGCAAGGAAGCTAATTTTGCAGCAATTGGAATCCAATTTCTTTTCACTTGTCAATGGCTATAAATAGAGCTTTCTCAATGCTTAATTGTGCATATCCAACACCCAAGTAGCAAATTGAGGGAGGAAGAGCGGTCCTGTATGGAGATTTAAGAGTCTTGTTAGGTAGCCAAGGATGACTTGCCTATATCCAAAAAGGATTTTGAGGAAAGAAAAGCTGAATCTCATAAATCTCATCAGAGTCCTTTTAATGGTTTCTGGGCAGTCTCCTTTGGCTATCCTGACTGGCTCTTATCTTTCATGCTTGACCTACATCTCTTCCATGCATAAAAAAAAATCAATGCAATTTCCTACAAGTTCCCAAATATGTGTTATCTAAAAGCATGAACCATGCTCCGTCAGGCATAATAAGTACTGAGTTTGAGCTTCAAATTCTGCTTAGAGCACTTATTTATTCGTTCTTTGAGGTGAATTGGGTGACGGATATATAGGTAGGAAAAATTAATTATCAAGGGCTTTAGTGGAGGTCTTTAATTTCAGTCTCATTACTGATTGATGGTAACCTTGTGTCAGAATAATGCCTACTGCTCACACTGCATTAGACTCTTGTTTGCATAATATGATTTAACCGAGGGATTGCTGTGGGGTTTAATAATGGGGTCCATTACTTAAAAGGGCTTAAGATTCTTTTCGTTAATTATTATTAGCTTCTTATTTTGTTTCTTATTTTGTACTAAAAGAAGGCAAAAAGTATTCGCAAAATTACTAATTAAGGTACATTCCTAGCAACAATATGTATAAATAGTAATTAAACTACATTGTTAGCTGTTGATGTGCTGCACTCTTACCCGCCTATGTGTCTCTTGTCTATGAACTCGAACTCATAGTAATAACTAAATTGTCCAAAGTAAATCGATTTTAAACTGGCTTAAGAAAGAGAGATTGGGAGGCAGAAAGGATCATCCCCCTCCCTTTATTTCAAATCATTTTTCATCTATTGAGTTTCAATATCTTGAGTATGTAACTGGTCTTTTGCAGGTAGCATATTCAAATCACAGTCTTCCATTGGGTATGTATCTTTGCTGATTGAATTCCCAGAGGACAAATTTGAACTGGTAAATTCTTATCGGAACTTAATCTGTTGAATATGTCTAATCGTGTCGAATCACGGTGACCCAAATTTCAGGCACAGGTAAGGATTGCTCTTGCCATTTTCTAAATGTTGTTTCAGGCTTCATGTATTAGATATCCTCTTTAAATGCTTCTTATCCTTGACGAAACGACCTGTGGCCTACAAGGTAGCGTTTCCCTGTTCTTTGGAGTAGAAGTGTCTTGTTCATTATTGGTTTTAGATGCTATTTTAACAAGAACCATGAGCTGGATCACTGAACCAAAATGATTGCATGAGTGGCTTAGGTTCTTGCCCTGTTTTACATAAAATAAAGTTAAATTGGTTTAATGCTTGTTGAAAAAGGGCCAATTGAATTTATTGAAACTCGAAAGGACAATAAACTTTCAGATTTATAATGAACTTATTGTGATGGAGAATTTTTCCTAGTAAAAAGGAAGTTTTTCTATAAATTTACTTCCTCCTCCTCTGCTTCACCTTTCTTCTTTCCATAGTGCAGAGGTTATTGACAAATCATGGGCTTCAGGTTTCTGTCATCTCCATTGTTGTTCTGTTGGCCTACCTAGTTGCTTCACCACCTTCAAAACCAGTCGCTGCCAACCCCCTAGGGAAGCAAGAACCAGATTTCACCTTGGGGACTGAATGGGCCCATTTGTTTTCCAAAGCAGGGCGTCTGCTTTTTCGTAGAGTTGCTCTTGAGCTTGGGACTAGACCTTTCAAATTTGTTTCACTTAAGGTTTAATCAGAATATTTGATGTTCGTCTAACAATATTTATGAGTTACCATCGACCATTATTGAGCAACTTTGTTTTTGTGCTAGGTTCAACTTTATGGGATCTATCATCTGCTAAGAAAGAAAAAGGATAGCAGGTGATGATTTTCCTAATCGGAAGCTTAGCAAATTCTTGGTTTGGCAAGGATTTGAATACGGTTCATGGCTTTTCGTTAACTGTGATTTATGGGTCTGAAAAAACATCCAACTAAACTATTCTCTTAATAGAACTGTTGTTCTACCGCTTTTAATATATATATATATATATATATATATATATATATATATAGGTTAATTTGGCGGGACAATTAAGCAGGAGGCAAATGTAGGTTTTGGCTTTGGAAGCATATAGGGTGAAAAGAGATTGAAATGTCGATATTGCCATTGTGGGACAGTATGGTTTGCATGTTAGGCATGCTTAATGCAAAAAAATTTGGTGAATGGATAACCTTAATTAAGTAGAGACGAGGAAAGATTATATATGATCTTGTATCTCTTACAAAGTCAAAGAACAAAGTTCAAAGGAATAATAATCAGAAAAGGTCTGGCCCAGTCCATTAAAGACCTTTTGGGCTTTGACTAGAATTTTCTTAACCTAACCCATTATATTTAGTCAAGAAAATTCCTCTTGCCGCGATTTTCCCTTGTTTTCTACAAAGCAAACGAATCGTCCATCTCTGAAAACCAGAAGTCAAAATTCTTGTCTCTCTTTTTTTTTTTAACTGTTTTGAAGTTGAAAATCATATCGTGGAACGGTGGAAGAGAGACTGGCCAATTCAATTCTCTCTCCCTCCTGGTGAAGTTCTTCTTTGAATTTCTGTGATCTCATTTTCTCGCTTATTTCAAGCATAAATTAATAAATAAAATCTTTTAAAACTCTCATTTCCAGATCTAAATTATAATTTGTTTTCCCCTTAATTCGGTGAAGAGAGATAAAAAGAGAAAAGAGACAGAGAGATTAAAAAAGCTTCGAAGGGAAAACATGATCACAATTCCGTATTTGACCGCTTTAACCACCTACTTCAGCTATGGCCTTCTCTTCGCGTTTGGCCAATTCCGTGATTTCTTCAGGAAAATTTTTGATTGGTGGCATGCCAGCAATCTCCAGGTTCATTTTTTTTTCTGTCTTATTATTTGTTTTTCATTTTTTAGAATAATAGTATCGCCATTATTAGAATTTATTTTGTTTGAAAATTGCGTAGATAGAAACGAGTTGCGTGACTTTCTTTTTTTTTTTTGTATTATGTAGGGATATGCTCCGATCTGTTTAGGACTTGAAGATTTCTACGTTCGACGCTTGTATCTTCGCATTCAGGTATTTTCTTTTTCTTAAATGATGTCTTGATTCATTTAAGTTTCCTGGAGATGTCTGAAGACAAATTATCAAATTAAGCTTTAATAGAGATAATTTCACTCGAGAAATTAAATGCTTGAATCCTAAGTTTGGTTCCTAATGGTAATTTATTAATCCGTTATGCGTAGAAGCACTTGATTGTTGTTCTTTTTGTATCTTTGAAGATCAAGGTAGCTCCATTTTGATCCTAGACAGTCTTTTTGGCAATTTCTTCCTATGCAACTTGTACATGACTGTCTGTTGCGTAATAATGCTGGTAACATGTTTTAAATTTTCACCTCTGTAGGATTGTTTTGGGAGACCGATATCAAGTGCTCCTGATGCGTGGTTTGACGTTGTTGAGCGCTACTCGAATGACAATAATAAAACAATGAAGTGACTCCTCTGTTATGCTTTCACTTTTCAATCCTATTTCAAGCTCACTTTCATTTCTTCTACAACAGTTTTCTGTATATTCCGACTTTGTTTTGTTATTGCATTTATACGATATGCAAAAGAAAATTTGGCATCTGATCATTGCTCACTTCTTAGGTGAATGATTGAGATAGAAAGCTTGATTGCTAAATGTTGATGTCACAAGCTTATGTTGATTAATTTTCCTGATTTGCATCCCTTACAGGCGAACTGACAAGATAAATAGGTGTCTGAACTTGGGATCATACAATTATCTTGGCTTTGCGGCATCTGATGAATATTGCACACCCCGTGTAATTGATTCATTAAATAGATTTTCAGCAAGCACCTGTAGTACTCGTGTTGATGGAGGTATACTTTTTAATTCTGCCTCGCAGTCAATCTGGTTACATTCCTGGTTATCTGAAATTGTCCACTGCCTTTTCCCCACCAGGAACGACGACAGTGCATAAAGAACTGGAGGAATGTGTTGCAAACTTTGTTGGGAAGCCAGCTGCTATAGTCTTTGGCATGGGCTATGTGACAAACTCTGCTGTCCTTCCGGTCCTAATGGGAAAGGTATGAACTCAATGATAGCATGAGCATTCTTCATGTAAAATGTGTATATCTAAACTTTATTTTGGTCTTTGCTCTGTCACTATTGTCATTGTTATTTTTCTTTGCATTTATCTACAGGGAGGGTTGATTATTAGTGATTCATTAAACCACAACTCAATTGTCAATGGTGCACGAGGCTCAGGAGCTACCATCCGAGTTTTTCAACATAATAGTAAGTTTTATTTGGTATTTTAAACTTAATTAATAATTAATTGACTTATCACTATGCTGATATAAATAAATCACTTTTGTCTTTTTTATTGTAGCACCTTCTCATTTGGAGAAAGTTCTCAGAGAACAAATCGCTGAGGGACAGCCCAGGACACATAGACCGTGGAAGAAGATAATTGTTGTTGTGGAGGGTATTTATAGTATGGAAGGCGAACTTTGTAAACTTCCTGAGATTGTTGCAATATGCAAGAAGTATAAGGTGATGCAGTTAATATAATGATCATGTTCTCCTGATAATTCATTCTGGGTTGTCCTTAAAGTAGTCTGCCCTTGTCCTTTTCTTTTTGGCACTCGGTTAATGATCAAGTAATAATGGGAAAGAAAAGAAAAATCACTGTAATAACTGCTTTTTAACTGCTAAAGCTAAATGAGGTCGAGTTACCTTAACCCATAAACATGAATACTATGTATGTCCTGTTTTCTAATGATTTCCTCCCTTTTTTTTAAAATTTTTCCAACAACTTTATAATGCATTTTCAGCCATCATCTTTGATTTCTTTAACTGTAAGTTATGTCTATTTCCCATTTGTTTTAGGCATATGTTTATTTGGACGAGGCTCACAGCATTGGGGCAGTTGGGAAGACAGGAAGAGGAGTATGTGAGCTCTTAGGAGTGGATACTGCTGATGTGGATATCATGATGGGAACTTTTACAAAATCTTTTGGGTCTTTTGGTGGTTATATTGCTGGATCCAAGGTTTGTTGCTTTTGCTAATTGCTAACTTCCCTGGATCTTTTAAAGTCGCCTTGCACTGTTGTCATTTTGGTATTGTTCCATTTGTAGTTTAGCTTGATATGCCTGCTATCAGTTTACTGGAGGGTTTCTATAGTGTGATGATGGCTGGTGATTTCTTTGATCGAGTGTGAAAATGATGGATTGGATTAAAAGATATATATGCTGATATGGAATATAAGTCTAGGTGTATAGAATAGAGCTTAGGTTTGCTGTTTGTTCCCCGTTATTATGTATAGGACTGGGTGGACTGCTCTTGCTGCTGCTTTTGTTCTTGTGAGGCAGGGATGATTCTTTTGAATGCCTGATCTTGGGTCCATTGCAGGGGCTATTGGTAAATTATGCCCAGTCATAAGGGAGGTATATTGACGAATATCTTCTGTTTTTTGAGTTCATTCTCACAAAGGGATTTCCTGCTCCCTTATTTTAATGAATTCCTTTTCTCTGCTCTTCAAAAAAAACAAAAGTTTAGCTTGGTTCTGTTGATCATCCAGGATTCGTTCTACAAATCTTGCAACTAACTTGTTTCCATGTCAATTTCAGGAACTTATACAATATCTCAAGCACACTTGTCCTGCTCATCTATATGCAACATCAATATCGCCTCCAGCTGCACGGCAAATTATATCTGCAATAAAGGTTATTCTTGGGGAGGATGGTTCTAGTAGAGGTTCGATGTTTTCTCCTTCTAAGATTGTTGAACTTCCATTGTGATTTCACATTTGGATCTTCAAATCTTTTTGTCATGACTTGAGGCTTTTTTGTGTAATGTTTAGGGGCTCAAAAACTTGCAAGGATACGTGAGAATAGCAACTTTTTCAGGTCAGAGCTGCAAAAGATGGGATTTGAGGTCCTTGGAGACAATGATTCTCCTGTAATGCCTATAATGCTTTACAATCCGGCAAAGATCCCTGCATTTTCCCGAGGGTGCCTCAAACAAAATGTGAGATTAAAGCCAATTTCAGCTGTCCTTTTAACTTATTTTGACATTATAGTTCTGCCATTCATTATATTTATTTTAACAGTGCATGACTCTCTGTCTAGTGTGTACTGACCAGTTATTGAAAATGTAATCATGCTGTAACAGATTGCTGTTGTTACAGTTGCTTTCCCTGGCACCCCACTACTTTTGGCCAGGGCACGTATTTGTATATCTGCCGCACATACTAAGGAAGACCTTCTTAAAGCCTTGGAGGTAATTAGTGGCTCTCTGCTTCCTTCTGCCCTACTCTATTGCCTTGGTTATAATGTGGATCAGAAATCGCTACTGGAGTGATCAATTAGTGTGCACAAGGTGATTGTTTCAAGGGTTAATTGTAATTGCTGTCTTCATGACAGGTTATCAGTGAGGTCGGGGATATGGTGGGCATAAAATACTTCCCTGCAGAGCCTAAGAAACTGGAGCAGGGGAAAGACACAATCAAATTGGAGTGAAAGGTTGAAAAGTTGCTTGGAATTGCTTCCCGTATGTAGATTTTATCTAACAAGTGATTCTTCTTCATCAGTCACTCGTTTGTAGTACCAATAGGCCCAGTAGTATCCTAAGGTTCCTACATGTTAGTGGTTTTGCGCATGATGTTCTTGGGATTTTTGCTACTTAATGTATAGGTACTAATTTAATTCATCTCATTGTATGATCATTTTCTCCTTCCCAACCCGCGGCAAGTCTCACCTTTGATATAGAAATAGGAGACCTCAAGACGACGAAAACAGGCTTCACCACCAACTTCTACATTCTTAACTAACTTTTCCCATTCTTCTTTCTATAGAAAATATTTTGGCAGAGTATCAGTCTCTTGTCCCTCTCATCATACATTGCTCATTCTTTCTTTTATCTGAAGAAAGATGGCAGGCTTGCATCACACGAATAAGGCAGCCAGTTAACCCTCGAGTCATTTGCAACTCAACACAGTTGGCCACGCAGATCAAGCCAATATCTAGTAATGCATAAATTACGGACAGGTCAAGGTCAATCAACCATGACAGTGTGTTAGCGAAAGATGTTGGCTAAAATGCAGTCAAGTTGAGAGTGTAATCGAAGAATCATTAAATAAACTAAGAAAAATCATCATTTGCCAAAGATTAATTTAGATGATTATTATCAGCTCACTAACAAATTAACGGCAAATTTTATTACATGCACAAGCACATGAAGAAGGATATTCCTTTCGAGGCAAGAATTTTGTTACTGGACTCGAGAAACATTGATGCATGACGTCTCCTTTAATGTTTTGGCTAGACTCAGCCTACCCCATTCACTGGCTCCCATTGGCACTTGGGTACAATTGGAGCTATACTACTTTGCAAAGCCACTATACAGGAACCAGTTTTAACACTCCCTCACCAAGATGGAGATTTATGAACAATTTCCTGTCACCATATAATCCTTATATGTTTATGTTTTTTATATATGCTACAAAAATGCCAGAACCATTCATCCCTGCATCTCATTCCCAATTCTAGACAATTGCACATGAAAGAACCCAGCGTAATATAATAAGAAACAATCATGAATATGCTCCTAAAACAGATCCACCAATACTGGATTTGGCTTTAATTAATTCAAATCATGAGCTATATGTTTGACAAATCCATCAATATGGGCAGCTACATCACACTGGCAGACAATTCATCATAGAAGAACAATAAGCATGAGAAGTTGGACTTCACAGCAAAAGGCAAAGTCCATGAATAATTCACACAACTATAAATATAAAATTATCAAGGGTAAATACTCGTACCTCCCTAACTTTTGATCATAATTTACCCTATATCCATCAGCATTGAAAATGAACACTTTGCCCCAAAAATATATATATCGTCAGACATATACATCCTACCGTTAATGTTTTTGGTTTTTCAATATGTCATAAATTTTATACCCATTTTACCCTTCTGTGCACTGTTCATATTCTCCAATGGAAATACAATTCTGATGGAATTTGTACCAGGACTTAGCTTCCATTGGGCATCTAATATCTAAAGACTCATTTGATATCTCAAGACTCAGTTGGATATCCATCCTTCTACCAGAATTATCATTAAAATTAACCCACAAATGCAATTTGATGAGACCTCTATTATCGGACAAATCATACCAAAAGGAACAAGAACAATAACTAAAACAATTGAATCAACCAAACAAATTCCCCAACCCTAACTCTTAATCCCACACCAAAACCCCAGATTTTCTCAGTCTTTCATTTTCCCACGGTTAAAACTTTACATCAACCCCACAACAATGACTTTTTTTTTTAAAGCTTGGTATGCATTGCTACAAAAATATTTACCAAAAATGTCTACTGGAAGAAAGATACATAATGCATTCTTCACCTCAACAGTGGACAATACAAACTCAGTATCACAACCAGAACAACATTTCACCCTATCAGTCCTCTGTACAAAAACTCAACCTACTGTACACCCAAAAACCCAGACCAAAACAAAAGCATAGTCCCGAGATTAAGCTAAAACCAACAATAATGAATATATAAGTAGCTGTTGTTGCTCTTTTTCAAGTAACCAGAAAAAGAGGGACAAGCCTAGACTCTGAATCTCACTTCATAGATGTCAGTGACGATGTTAAGAGCCAAAGAAGGGAAGTCAAGAAAGCTAGGGGAAAGTTTTTCAGGTTGTTGGAGAGAAAACTGAGAATTGTTTGAGCCAAAATTTGGGTTCAACAATTTGATCTTGAGGTTCTTGGGAAAGCCTCTTCGCTCGTGAAGCCTGAACCCAGAATTTTAGTTGTTTTTGGGATGGATTTGACGGGAAGGATGTGGGTTTTAGGGTTAGGTTTGGAATGTGGGTTCTTGGCAGTTGTGGGTCGGTGCTTAATCAAAGTGTTGCCAAATGTTTTGCTTGATTACCCCAGGCTTTGAAGTTAACTAACAAATAGGTAGAAAATCCTTGATAGAAATATATAAAGAAATGCTGCAGAGTTTTGTCGACCATTCTAAACAAACAAAATGATTGCTCCAAAACACAACACAACAATTTAACTACGTTAATAAAATCAAAGTGAAAATCCAAAATCACTCAAGTTTAATACTTTGTCTGGCATCTAAATGGTTACTCTTGTAACAAAAAAAATTTGCAGAATCGGTTCATCCAAGAAGAACAAGAGAGTTTGAAAGTTCAAGGTGAATTTTGTTGACATTTTTAACTTTTTAATTTTATGGGTATTGTAGTAATTTTATAAAATCCGTTATCAGTATTTAAGATTTTGGGGCAGAATGTCCATTTTTAATACTAATGGACCTGGAGTGAATTATGATCAAAAGTTACGGAGGTAGGAGTAATTTACCCAATTATCAATGATCTATTCAGAAAGAAGTTTCAGAAAGAGGTAGGACTTGGATTTCCACTCACCCCAACAATAGCTTAAAACTCAATTTCTTAATATTTGACACATATGCACATGACCACATAGGCTAAGTTCTTCAAGATTACTCTTCTCTTCAGTAATACCTATCCTCAATTCATCAAGTCACGCAATAAAAAAATACAATAGTGTTAAAGAAGCACTTGGACATGTAATCCCTTCTGCACCAACTCCTATTTTGTTTGTTTGTTTTTTCTTTCTCTCCATCTTGCCAAGTTCTTTAATAACTAGAATATACTTGACAAAATCACTAAGTAATGTGAGGGACTTAATGGAATACAAAAAATATACTAACTCATGTAGTATACAAAAATGGCTACACCTTTTTCTCAGACTCACTGTTTCAGAAGCACATATATTAGCAAGGTGTGCCCAGGACAAGAGAGAAGCAAAAATTTCTAATGGCCAAATTAGAAGCAGATATCCATACCACAAAGAAAAATTATGATGTCTTCTGCATATTGAAACCTTCAAGAATATGAGCATCGGGAATGAATGCTGAGGCGAGTGGCACTAGGTATCTGATTGCAGCAACTAAACATTTACATTACCAATACCAAACAAAAGCCCACTAAACACCAAAGGGCAATTCAGGCAAACAGAAACTCAAACATCATCATTGATCCTAAAACACAATTTGCATAGTGAGAGGTAACCTCTGGATGACTAAGATAAAGTAGTTTAGATGTTAATACATATATTCTCATATAGACGCACAAAGAGCACAAAAGGAACAGATGGAGTGCAAATATCTATAGCCAGTCCATGGTAATTCAAAATAAACAGTTACAAGAGTTTCATCTTAACAACTTCTTTCAATAAGAATCTTCAATAACCAGAGTAAAGAAACAGCTCTTGAGTAATAGCTGCAACTTTCAGCATGAATTCACCATGTTAATCACAATACAAAGCAGTTCCATAATATCTAATTGTAAGAATAATTTCCATTTCATAATCATAAAGAATATGAAAACCATAAGAATATGCTTGAAATTGCCTTATTTGGTTAAGCACTTTCCTTTAACCAAAAGAAAAGCTAATATTCCCTCATTGTTTTTCATTAAAGTTCTCAACAATAGTAAGCACTACCTTAACGAAAGCACCATAAGCACAATGCACTGCAAAAAATCTGCACCAGACTAAAATTCATATAGTGCAACATAAAAAGAAAAAAAAAAACACTAACAAAGGAACCTACTCATTCTCCTACTACCACTACATTAAAGGAAAAGTAACATATAAGCTAACAAGGTTCAAACTCTTACATTGCCATAGCTGATAAGTTTCTCCTTTCAAAAACCCTATAAGCATCATGAAAAACCTCACGAAAAGCCTTTCCCAAGCTTCTGGATCGCGCAAAACATTTTCCTTCTAGAACCAACCGCATTTATTCCCATATCCTTCAAATCTTCCAATGTTAACAAAGGCAAAACCTCATCATCCACTTCATGGATCTCGAAAACCGGGGCATACCTTCCTAACCCCAAACTGTTCAACCATATCCTAACCCCATCTTCCCCACACTGCCTAATGTCGGTATCAGACGGCCCCGATAACTCCACCCCGTCCGAAACCCTAGTCCGAATTGGTCTCCTTTGACTATTCCCATGATAAAGAACTTCCCTTTCACTGCCATCGACACCCAGATTATCAAACGAATGAATCGGACTCTGCTCTTTCATGGGGCTTTCGGAGTTCTCCATGTCGAAATCATCGTTATCTTCTCCGGCACTGTATTTGTCCTCTGTTTCCACATTATTGTTGTTAGTGTTGTTTTTGCTGCCGTTGATGCTGATGTTTCCGCCCCCTCCGCCGCCGGAATCGTCGATTTTGGAAACCCAATTGGATCGGACCCTTTTCGTGGCGGAGCCCCGTTTCTTGAAATCTTTGACTCTCCAGCTACCAATAGCGACGCTATCTAAATTGCTGTTATTGTTGTTAGCATCCCTTTCGTCATCGAGGGTTTCGTTGTTGGTGTTGAAGTCAGTGCTGAGATTGGTTAGAGCGCGAGTTTTGGACGATTTAGTACTTGCAGCGGCGACAGAGGGATTTAAGGAATGATGGGATTGGTGTTTCCATTGCTTGACGCCGGCCGCCGCGGCGGAAGACGAGGAGGGTCTTCGAATATGAGAATCGTAGGGTTGGTCGCCGCCGATGTCGCCTAATCGAACGCTGGGACGTCTCTGGCGTTTCGATCCAACGGTCTCAGATGAAGCCACCACGAGGGGTCCGACGACGCCGTTTAGCTGGCCGTCCGATGGGTTTATTTCCGCCATTTTTATTTTTCTAGGCTTTTTCTATTTTTTTTTCTGGGTTTCTTCTATTTGTGAAGAAAGTGAGGAAGGCAAAGTTGTGATAAAAGGGAGTGGCTTTTGGATGGAGAGAGAGAGAGAGAGAGAGAGAGAGAGAGTGAAGTAAATGAAGTGAGGAGAAGAAAAGAGAAAGGAAGGGAGTGGAATTGGAGAGTGTCAATTGACATGTTGGGTTAGTGACGCGTGTCCCCTTTTCCTACCGAAAGGGAACAAAAGGTTTTCCAGATTTTCAATATTATTTCAAGTAGTTGCAGTAATTGATTTTCAGATGATATGCAGCAACATATTATGATCTAAAGGACCATACAATAACAAAGCAAAGAGGATGTATTATAAATTCTGTATTCAATATGTTTTGCTTAGTAAAAAAGAAAAGTAAAAGCATTAAAAAACTATCCTATTTATTATACAAGTTTTGGTCCTATACTCATATTAATGCTAATAAATTGAGAAAAGTTAAGAGGACAAAAAAATTACCACTATTTAGCTAAATTAATGATGCGAGTATTTATCAAAATTACATATCTCATTTCCAGAAATAATTGATACTTAATGCGACCAATATTGATTCACACACAAAACTCAGAAGAAAGTCTGATTCAGTATGTCAACTAAATGGGGCCACAGCCTTAGCCTACAAGCTAGAAATAATTCCAGTAATTCCTGCCAAAGGGTCATCCAGAATCAACAAGCTATAGACACTAGAAAGTCATTTGTCATTATGCCTAGGAATTTCAACCATTTAAAAAGGTGACTGAAAAATTGCTGTACCACACACTGACCTGCTCCTCACCACAGATACTATTAATGCATTTTGTTTACATTCTCACAAGAAATTTCAAGTGTAAGTTGTGATTTGCGAATCTTTTGTCAACCCTGACTTCTCGCGCTTTTGCTTCGTTTGATATTCATGGAAAAATTTCAGGCACCAAGCTAATGATAGACATGCTAGAAAGTCAACTGTATGAATTAAGAAATGGGTAAAGCGTCTGCATCAGAATCTCATGAATTCATGAATACAATGTAGACCCTATTAGCACTGAAAAATAACAATGAATCCACGCATGAAACCTTGAAAAACTGACTTTCTAATCTACACTTGCTTTTCGACTGAAGGGAGCTTTTAAAAGGCAATGCAGCCTGAAAACTTTCACTCCCAAAATGAATCTTTTAAGATTGAGTGTGCTACTTGCGGCTGCTTCAAATGTAGCCCAGAGCGGCCTCGGTTTTTTCAGTCTTTAATTTGTCTGTGTAAACTATATCCAGCAATAATTTCAAAGTGAGGAATATCAAGATCAAGCGCGGTTACCAAAGATTCAATCAACTGGGACTGTACAAAGCTGACCATGTCCAGGACTGTGCTCTAAAGGATACATGGTCGCGCCTTTCACAAATTTTTTATGGTCAACAGCAGTCTTTCTGAGCTTAGAGACTGACAAATGTTTCCTTTTAACTTGCTTCTTTATTATTGAGCACGAACCGAGCAAGTCTTCAGATCCTGCTCCAAACCTCCTACAAAAAGAAGAAATTGCATTTTTTACATATTTAGGAACACAGCTTTAAGCTGGAACAGAGTAGTTTTCATTATATCAAATTTCATCTAATGCACTGCACTAAAAACTCTACTAACACCAACTTTCAAGAAAAAAACTCCACTAACACTGGTGAACACTACAGTGAGATTTCTTGTGGTGAGATCCAATGAGATCTTACCAATAACTATAATGGTCACTGATTAACACCATACAAGATTCTGGTGACCACTACAGTGAGATTTCTTGTGGTGAGATCCAATGAGATCTTACCAATACCTGTAATGGTCACTGATTAACACCATACAAGATTCTTGAGCAACAATATGCCAATATAGGCAAAACTAAAGGTTTTACATAATTAGTACCTGTTTGTGCAACTCTTAAGTATGGGTGTCAATGAACCAAGCCAAGCCAAGCATCTCCTCGTTTGTGCTCGGATCAGCTAAATTTTTACAATCTTGTACATGAGCTGAGCTTTATTCAGCTCAATTAATTTAGCCGAGCCCAGGCTATAAAAGAACTTGTAGCAAAAGCACAATAAAAATGGGTCCTTTAGCTCACAAATGGTAGACTCAAGGTCAATGTACAATGCTAAGGCTTTCTTTTTGTGATCCTGCACATTGAGTACCCCTAACAACCATTGGCTTATGGAGGAGGGGGGAGGACTTTATCTGTAGAGCACAAGGACCACCCACTCACACTGTCTTCAGATGTGGGATGGCAGGATAAAATGACAGGAAAGGAGATTTTGTTCTCTCCTCAAGCCTTAATATCACAAAGGATAACTGGTGGACACATGAGAAGTTTCCTACAACAATTATTTTTCAAAAAAGGGTTTGGCTAATGAGTGCCCTAAGGACATTCTTTAAGATCAATGTATTAAGTACTACATTTAAGACAAGAATATTACTCTAAATAGTAATTTAACTAACCCTAAAGAGTGCTCTTACAGCACTCTTTAGCAAAACCCTTGAAAAGATTATGTATGACTTTAATATAGGTAATATTTACTTTTCAATGACATAAATATTAAATTATATTTTCAATTTTATTGAAAGATATTAAAGCTTAAAAATAATGATGTTAAAAAGAATTAAACAAACACTTATCAAGCTTTTTATCATGAACAGCTTATCGAACTTGTCCGTGAACATAAAAGAGCCATGCTTACCTATGTTCAAACTCAGTTCATTATTAATCAAGCTTAAAGATATTGTTTGAACTTATTTGTTAAGTTTCATAAACAAACCTAAACGAGCTTTAACCAAACTTGTTCACAAGCAGCTGATTGAACATATTAGTTCACTTACACCTCCACTTCTAAGCAGTTGTCTACGTCAAAAAGCTAATAACAAGCCAAAGAAGTTTTTCAATAGAGCAACTTCTAGCATTTTTAAAAGCTGCAAATGAACTTTTAGAAGCAACTTGCATCATGGAAAACTGACTTAAGCAGCAAATAACCCATAACAAGAGCAGTAATATCTTTGTTTTATAGTATCTTAAGGTCAGATCAGATGTTCTCAAACATTCTTTGCGTGCTAAGACTGATTATCAAATGCAAGTCTCCGCAACCATCAGCATGTCTTATGTATTAGTAGATCCTGGGAAAACCTAATTATTGAGTTAAGTTCTGGGTCCAACTGGCCAATAATTGTGCATGTGATTGCCCGTATGATACATAAGGTGTATAATACAGCCTGCAACTTATCACCCATTATTAATTACCATATGATGAAAAAGGAAATAATAAAAGACTGTTACCTCAACAATTTTTCTGATGCAATTCTAGCAGCTCTTATGGCACTACGACTTGGCACCCACTTCACCACTCGGTTGGAATCAGCTCGCATTGGAGAATGGATTTTAATAAGCTTAACAATACCAAATGCAAATTGTCAAAGATAATGATTTCTCTAGGCTAATTATGATAGGACTGTAGTAACATAATGAAAAAGAGAGAATTCGAACTCTTCCAACTAATAATTACACAAGGAGAACTTCTCTAATTATTAACTCCATGACAGAACTCATGCAAAGATTTCAATATAAAGAGGGAGGGAGAGGGAGAGAAAGCATACACCCAAACACTCCATCATCTGGTAGTAAGCCCTGCCATGCAAAGGTGTATGGCCTTTCCGAGATTCTGAGAAATATCTAGTCCTAGAACATCATGAAGGTCCTCTTTGTCAGGTAAGCACAATTAAATTGTTAAGTTGCAGGGAAAGATAGTTAAAAGGAACAATACCATTCTTTATAACCCGGATCCACAGTGAAACCATACATATCTACCGAATCACATACAGAGAGAGCAAATTCAAGAGCCTTGAGCCCAGTTCCTTTTGCAGCTGAACCAAAGGATGCACCTAGCATGAGATATACAGGATTTCTTATTGGAATTTCCTGCATATGAAAACAACAAAAAAGTTTATGAAGTTTATGTCAAAAGAAAAAAAAAAGTGGCAGCAAAGGGGAAAAGAGCATGCTGCTAAAAATTCCATCTTTTAGTTTTTCAGCCATCAATATTTTAAAGAACAGTTTCCGATAGGATTTTTTTTTTTTTTTTGAAGAATGTGGTTGAGCAGTCAATTTTGCATAAGAAGCTCCACAGTTTTTACAGGAAAAAAGACACATTCTTTTACATCATTTTGATCAATAAATGCAGGAAGAGGGGGGGTTGAGAAAATGTAATAACAATGACAGGCAATCCACCTACCGATATAAGGATCAACATTTTCCAAACCAATACAAATGTTAAATCATAGGTGTGTTGTGTGTTAGCATTTGCATGTGTGCATATGCGTGTTAAGAAAAACTATTGTTGCTGTATATAACAGCTGTTTCAACAAGAAGAACTAGTTTGAAGAAAAATCAAAACCACAGAAAGGAACTAGATGGAAACAATATACTAACCCGAATCATCTGGCTCATAATGTCATGAATTGTAGTTTTTATTATCAAGACCTCATGCCTTGTTTCTGTAAAATGCATATATTTAGCATGCTTCTACTACAATGAAAGTATAATAAGTAAACAACAAGTGGGAAAATTCCAATACCATCCAATTCTACAACTTTATCAAGAGCTTTGGCAGATCCTCTGTTAAGAAGCCGAAATGAACTTTTTTTGCCCACATATTCAGTATAGTTCTGCAATAGAACATTTCACATATGGAAATTATGAGAAAAATTATTCGAAAGAACAAAGTGAAAGAAAAAAAGAAAGCCAAAGTTAACCTCAAAAGGGGCACCATTCTCTCTAATGACAACATCATAGCTATCTATCTCCTTCCCAAACCTTGTTTTCAGAAGATCTCCGGAGTTGCCAATAACAGCACACTGAGCAAACTGCCTTGGAACATAAGGTGGTGTTTCAGGGAGGACAAGTGAAAGCTTCTCCATGCATAAAGCTTTATTTTTACAGTGGTTCCTGCAATACAGAAACAAACTCCATAAAACTTTTGCAGCTGTAGTTTATCTCAGAAGCACATAGTAATAATCTGCATATCAAGTATCTCTAAGTAAAACATCCAGACCAAAAACCACATATGAGATTCTATTTGAAATATAAAAGTAAATTTAGCTT